ACGTATGACCTATATATGCTAGTCAAAAGATGGAATGTCGACATCTAAAAGTCGCTCAAAGGTATCCAATAGATATTATGTAACTGTTTGGTCTATAAGAAAAAATACAAAATGTTGGACAATCCTAAAGTCATTGACCCAATGATTATGTTTGGTGTGAAAAGGATTAAGTGGTGGTGGATAATTCAGTAAATGACTACAATGAACTCATGCATCACTGGTTCGCTGTGTTTTCTTTCTTTTCCTGTACACTATTCCACATATGATACTTTTCTATAGGTCAATTGGAAATCAATTTTAATCAAACATGTTTGTTCTTCAAACATATTACATGCATTCACATATATCTCAGTAAATTAAAAACATTTACACTTATATGACGTTCCTTTTCTTATAACACTAGTTATGATGATATTAGTAATCATTATTTACAAAACATTACCAGTTGAAAGGCTGAAAATTTTGCAGCTTCGAAATTTGCTTCTTGCGAAAACAAAAACATATTTGGTCACTTTCGCCCGTTCATTTGTAATTAAAGAGTAATCATTTCATGCTCGACCAGTTGCATCCGCTACTCATGACGAGATAACATCCAGATGTACCTTGCGTACAATGATAGTCATAAGCGAGAATGAATGACAAGATTATTGCTTTGACAAATAGAACACCATGATCTTTTACATAGACAAGAGAAAACATATTTGGGGTTTTCAATTTAAATCAATGTACATATACTTCATATTAGGGATCGGAAATTTTACGATGATTCTGCTTATGTTATGTCTCCTTACTGTCCCTGTGGTACTTTTTATGCTAGAATGACATGCTGTTTTTGAAATGAAAACTGTTATGTTTGTACATGCAGTTTGCCTTCGTGAAGACTTGTTCCTTTTTCTATTTAAAGCAATCAGCCTTGCTATACGAGTTTGTCTTTAGAAATAAAGTTTGTTGACTCACCGTATGTTTGCTTCATTAACTTTATCCCATTAAACCTGAATAAAGTTCCGAAATCTATAGCGAGGACTGATTGAAAACTAATTTTACAACACAAGAGATTACTTCAAATTTTCTATAGTAATGCAATGTTGTCATGTTTGTCATTAGTTGTAACTTCCAATTTAAAAAAAATAATTGTTAAAAGTTGTTTTAATCGCCTTTTTCTTTTTGTCATACTGCTGTCTGTTTAATTTAAAGTACTGTAAATTCAGAAATTATTGCGTGTATTTATTATTGCGATTTTGTCAATTCAGACTAAAATGCGATTTTAAATTTACGATATTGAGAAAAATCCTGTTTAATGCATATAAACAATTTCAAAATGCGAGTTTAAATTATTGCAATTATAACCCTGTTGCATTTTTCGCAATAATAGAAACATCGCAATAATTTCTGAATTTACAGTAACCGTTTCAATTTACTTTAGGGTATTATTTCAGAAAAAGAAAAACGATGAAAATACAAACAATAGTCTCAAAACAGTACCTAGAAAACTTAAGACTGAGCAACTCGAAACTATTTCACTGTTTTATTATGGATTGGTTCGCATTTTTGCCACAGTTTTAAAAACAAATTTGATTTTACTTTCACTATAAAAAGTCACACATAGTTTATTTTGTTGTCATTAACGTATTATATCTTATCAAAGAGAGAACTTAAAAACGAATGGCGATAATGTTGTTTTCCAAATGAAATCACCAGTTTCTTATCGACAAATTTAAACAAAATGTACGACTCATTAAAGATCTATCCCTGATTTTTCATCGATATTATTAGTTTAATCTCTCAGATATAGAAAATTCGTTATAAAGTAAATTTATGATTGCCATGAATGATCTAATTTTGACTTCCATTCTATTAAATTCCTTGAAAAAAATAATCCGAAAAATATTGAAGAAGCCTAGCAAAGATGGTGATTTTAAATAGTTTTCGTCTTGTTTATAAGTCGTTTATTGAATATAACCAAATTTTCTATGTATATAACAGTTTTTCTGTTGTTTTGATTTTATAAGTGAATAATAAGCTTACCTTTCAAAATCGAAAAGTTATTTCATATCAATCAAAAAGAAGAAAAAGAAACAAAACTACCAGTAATATTCTGATAAGCAGGTAATTGAAATAAAAAATGCATATCTGTTCTGGGTTTTTGCAGTCCATTAGCTATTTTGATCTATTAACGAACTTTAGCCACAGTTAGAATATTATTTAATAAGCCTTTCTCAAAAGTTTATGTTAACTTTTCTTATCAATTGGCTTCCGTCTCAAGTCTTATCTTGAATATTATTAAAGATAAAATGTTGATGGCAAACCTAATCAGCAAGAAAAAATCAACAAATAAAGCAACATAACAATTATCGTAAGTCGACTGGAAATATTGCTCAGAGTGATGATTATAACCCATGTTTATGCTTGTTGCATCGCAGAAACTATATTAAATAGATAAAAACTATGAATAGAAAAATTATAAAGAGGACGAAATCTACTGATAATTCAACATGATCGAAATCGTTAACCGAATCCATGAATCAATGACAATTTTAACATTTTTACAATTTTTGTCTCTTTACTTGCAACTTGTTCTACATAAATTGTGAATGGAAAAATTATCAGCAGGACAATATCTACAGATAATCCAACATGACAGATATTGGCAATCGAAATCATATAGGAAATATTACAATTGAATGATGACTTTAACCATATTTTTATGTATTTTGCATTAATTTTAGTAGGAGAACTGTATATATCAAAAATGATCAAAAGGACCAAGATCTTCATAACTAATTAAATATTCGAAATCATGAACCTACCTTCGAGGAATAATTGCCTTTGAATAAGGATTTTTACCCATTATTTTTCTGGCGGAAATATGTTGTTGATTAATATAAATTATCAATAGCAAAATTAATCAGCTGCACAATATATACATGGTAGAAATCCTCGGCCGATTTTTTATAAAAGTTATTGTCCTTGAATGACGAATTTTCTGTTTTACAGATGAGGACAGATATGTTTCAAATGTCGCAAACTACAATACCGTCCCTATTTCCCCGAATGTGACCTACCAAAAAATAGACTTATCACCGGGTTTGTATATGCATGAGCATTACGACGGGTGCCACATTTGAAGCAGAATCTGCTTACACTTCCGGAGCACCTATGATCACCCTCAGCTTTAGGTGGGGTTTGTTTTGCTCAGTCTTTAGTTTTTCTATGTTGTGTTTTGTGTACTGTTGTTTGTCTTTTGGTCTTTAATTTTAGCCATGGCGTTGTCATTTTATTTTCGACTTATGAGTTTGAATGTTCCTTTGGTATCCCTCGCCTCTCTTATACAAATATCTATGTATTCTAAGGAAACTTTAGTAGATATAAAAGAACTGTAAATAGGAAAAATGATCAGCAGGACAAGATCTAAAAATAAGTCAACGTCGCCGAAATCAATCGTCTACTGCTTACTGTCTTTTAATAACAATTGTTACATTTTTCGTGTTTTGAAGAAACTATAATAAAAAGAGAGGGACGGAACTGCAAACGGAAAAAGTGCTAATCAGGAATAGGAAAAAAGTCATAAGTCCAAATTCATCCGTTTGCATCTTATATTGGTTATTTTTCGTGAATGATGATTTTTACCCAACTTTTGTGGGGGTTTTTTCTTCGGAATTCATAATAAATAGCGAGTAGGTAAGAAGCAAAGATGATCAGCAGAAGAAGATCTACAAAAGGTCAACAAAGCCGAATCGTCAATTGATTCCCTTTTCGGGTATATTGCCCTTGAACATTTAACCTATTTTTACATGTTTTATGTGTACTTTTGCAGAAGCTTTAAGTACACAGAGAAAAACTACAAATTACCAAAGTGGTCATTATAATATCATAATATGTCAACATGACTTAAATCATTAGCTGATTCCCTTTTATGACGATTTTTATCTATGCTTTTCTTTTTTGCAGAAACAATCGAAAGTTATCAATTTTAGCAAAAATGCAAGGTTAGCGATACAGTCTCCCTGGAGCCTCAAGTTGTTTTGTGTGCCTTTTCTGTTGTTGTAATAACTACTGCATATGCATATTCCGCCATTATCTCTCTATTTTTGTCCGTTTTCCTTTCGTTCTATGATAAAGTGGAGATAGTTTTAAGTACATGTATGCGTTTATCAAGATGTATTCTTTTAACTTTTTAACTAATGTGTCACATGTTTCATGTGTTTGACAACTAGTGGAAGTTCGAACAATTTTAGTGGATATATGACTCTTAGTTTTCAGATAAACCATGTATGTAACATGAACATAACTTATGTCTTGTCAAAATAATTCAATTTTTTAAACAATATTATACTGCAGATAAATGACTTTAAAGGTGGAGAAAATGGAGTCATTTTTTTAGGTGAAAAATTCATAGCTGCGTATATGCGGTAATTTTATAGATATTAATTAAAAGATCCATATTATTAGCCGTTCTCTAATGGACGTAACTATTTGACGTTTGTAGTCAGTATTTACCTCAAATGGACGTAACTATTTGACTTTTGTATTCTGCATTTGCCTCTGGTTTTATACCCCGCATTATATTTTACGTTTTGATATAAATATGATGCTAGTTTTGCCTTGCAACTGCTTTCAAATTCACGCAACCGAATTGATGACATGGGTTTATTTTCCAGAATTTTTGGTGTGACTTCTATTTATCAACGTCGCGAAAACAACAGGTTAGATTTGTATACACGTTAGTACTACAAGTGCTTTAAAGAACTACTCTTACATGTCTAACTGTACTTTTTCTTCCCTGTTTTAAATCATATTACAAAGTTTATGACTTTTGTTTCCTTTTTAGAAGATATATAAATTTCATAAACAAATGTTTGAGAATAAAATCTTATCAATTATGAAACAATAGAAAATTTCATAAGGCATTACAAACAGAAAATATATTAATAAACATAGTATATTAACTAAACAATATATACGTATGGTATTAACATTCAACATGTTAATTCAATCTTAAAAGTAAGTAAGGTGTCATTACATTTATCATTTTTGAAATGATATATGTTCTGAATAATAACACCGATATGACAGTAAAATAGCAGACGATCTTCCATCTAGAAAGATGAAAATGTATCCTCTCTTTCGTCTTTTCTGAATGTGAGTGTCATTTGTCCATTTTCAAACTGCACAGACATAAATCTTGCGGGATTATATTGCCTCCTCTGGCGTTTTGAATCCCCATGCGATGTTGTAGACATATTCGTCAAACATCGTGAAGTTACAGTGTGATGTTTTATACTACGAAAGGAGTTGTTATCACGACAATTCCGGCATCGTACCAATGTTTTAAAACCATGTCTATACTTCCTGCTGAAAAAGCAGTAAATGATTGGATTGACACAACAATTTGACAAACCTAACCATTGACAAACAGGAATGATATATAAAGAAATAAAATTGACGTATTCCACGTCAGTAGGAGGATGGAAGTACAGCTGGAAATATACTGCATATAGCGGAAGACGGGAAAATGCAAACAGACTAACAATGATCGAAAACATTTTGATAACTTTCACTTTCGACTTATTGATCGTTGCAAAATTGCTTGCTATTCCAGGTGCACGTCGTGTCCACACTTTGTAAACAATTGAAAAATAGCACACAACAATAAATGAGAGCGGAAGAGCATAGCACATAATAAAAAGTCCAACAACGTAATAACTTCGCTGGAGGTCGTAATCTGGCCAAATCTGATGGCACATTGGTATTGTTTGTTGATCAAATTCTCCGTCAAACTTTTCATAAAAGAATACAATAGGTAATGCGAGCACAACCGCCATTAACCATATAAAAAAAATCATGGCACGTGAAGTACAAGTGTTGATTTTAGATCTCCATGTGTTGCAAATTGCAGAGTACCTGAAATATAATGAATAAATAAATACTTCCATATATAGATATATTAACTGTTGACATGGGAAAGCTAAAATATAAGGGGTGCAACGTGATGAGCAAGATCTGTCAACCCTTCCGGATAAACTGAAATTACGACTGGTTTTTGGTAAGTTTTTAGTTTTCTATGTTGTGTGTTGTGTACTGTTGTTGTCTTTTTATAGTTATTTTTTTTTTGCCATGATATTTTTCTGTTTGTGTTTGTCTTATGAGTTTGGATGTTATTTGTGTATATTTCGCCTCCATCTTAAGTTAGTAAGATAGTCATAAGTCATTATTGTGAACTTTTGTCTATGTCAAGATAAAATGACTCTATCGTAGCGATCTTTGGTGATTTAAAAATGGAAAACATACTGTTTAAAGTGTTTCATTACAACAATAGATATCAAATGACTTTTTTTTAACTGACGTGTCGATTTTTTCACTTCATTACACATGTTACAGTGCTCATCTCTCAGGTTATGAAGTTCAATTGATATTAAAATTAATACACACAGTGCGAGTTTTATGATACTTTTATGAGTCCTTATATAAATGAAGATATGAATTTTATTGCAAGAAATATGTTATACAGTTTTTTACAATGAAATAGGTTTGATTATATTCAGACATATATAGTATTTATCAAACATAAAACAATTCTCTGTGAACTATTTGCAAATGAATGTTATCATTATATTATTCCAGTTGACAGATCATATCCCCAAAAGAAAGAAAATCTGTAAAATTAACAATGCATAGATTCAGAAAAATGCATTGAAGTCTTTTATTTCTAGCACTCAAGAAATGGACATGAATGTGAACTGCTATACAGCTGTTTGAAAAAAGTGAATGATAGCTGTTTTACATTATAATTAGTGTATACTGGGATCGTCATTAAGACCACAGGTCAACAGCAAAAGTTAACCACACATTTAAAATCTCGAGATAATCATACGGTAAAGAATCCGAATGATTTGTCAAGGTCTTAACTGCCACTAGATTTTGAAAAATCTAAAGCACACCGATGAACGATGACGATGTAAATAAAAACACCAATCGACACATAATTCTATCACAAACAAAAAACGTAAAATGAAATTAACAACAGAAGACAAAATTCTGACTAAAACGTGTATATCATGTATATGTAGCGGGCACTTGTAAACCAATTTTGATCTGAAACTTTCATTTTGATCTTAACAGTTCTTAATAGACTGAACACTAAATTGTTTAGTCATGTTCGGTCTTTTTGTCAATTTAAAGACTTATTCACTGCGTTACATTCAGTACTGTTCAGCCAATTCGCTTGCATTCGTATAAGATCTGGTCAGTCTATGTTCAGACCGTACAGTAATTGTGTTTTACCTGTACACATTTAAAACATACAGCATTGTCTGAAAAGTTACTGATCGGCACTGAATTGACTGAAGGACATTTTCTGAACAATACTGAATTAACCGCAGTGTATTTGTCAGAAAATGTACTAAAAGACGGAAAATAATTTACCAATTCATTTTTTATACTATTCAGATACTGTAAAGATCGAAATGACCGTCCGTTTAATACTACGTTTTTATCTACTAGTGGGATAGCCAATACACTCATAATAGATTCTAATCAATCAACGGAACAAGTGAAAAAAGAAACATATTTTACAATTCATTTGAAATCGTATTTGTTTTTACTTCGGCCAGTTAAGTAAAAATAATGTCTATTTGAAAACAAAATATACCCATCGTCAATGGTAATATGAATATTTAATGGACGAAGGTTATAATTTTGAGGGTGATTCCTTGTTATCCTTCAGCTTGTTTTTAGTGTTACATTTTAGACTATCAAATTAGTTCATTTTACACGTGCAGCCTTTAATTTCTGGACTTTCATTATAGTTAACTTTATTTAGTATGGTAGTTATTTTAGTTTCCCTTTTGGATATTACATATACAATGTCTAATAGGTCAAAGGTAACGATATATCAAAAGGATAACAGGAGTAATATATGTGAAGATATGTGAGATATAAAAATATACAATCCGGCATAATTAGGACAATTGAAATTGAATGAGATTAAAGAGTGATGAAAGAGTTTTACATTTAAATAACACTTTTACATTTGGTGCGTAAAATTTGTTTTTCGAAATTTTCCTTCATCAGGAACGCTCATTCCCAAAAAATTCAAAGCCAAATACGAATGAATGTTTGAATATACTTGAAGAGACATCAAACCCACACATCCTAAAACATAAAGCTAAAAAAGTAAGAAAAAAATTAAAGTGCAATCTAACTCAATAGTTCGATGAAATGCAGACAACACCACAACCAAAAACCCAAACATCCTAAAACAAAAAAGTAAAATAATAAGAAAAACTTAAGGTGCAATCTAACTCCCTAGTTCGACAAATGAAGACAATATCACACCCAAAGAAAAACAGACAATAGTAAATAAATCAAGCAACTCGAACCTCATAACACCTAGGGGTAAACTAAGATGTTCCGGACTGATCAGCAGTTCATACTCTACTAGTTCAACTCGTCACGCTACTCAGGTTAAAATCATTGTCGGTAATAACGCTTTAAGACAAAATGAATTGGTAGATGTCTTTTATCTTTAATGAGTTATTTTCTATCCTTAATATATTAGTTATTGCATAAACAAACAGGAATGTTATATTGTGTAAAATAGAATAATGGTGTTTTTGATATTGACTTTATCAGCAATAATATAGGGAAAACTAGGTATTCGAGCTGATGGACTCAGTATCAACAAATACAATGCTATTATCATTTTGATCTATTGACCATATGTTTTTTGTTTTTTTTTTATGTAGGACATGAAACTATATGAAGAAAAAAAAAAGTTTATACGCATTCAAAACGTTGTGATAGTTAATTGGTTGTATGGATGACGTCACGAGCATTTCATTACTTAATTGGAACAGATTGACAAGAAAAAGTTCACTTGACGTTGCTGCATTATCTAATATTCTCGTGTAACACGTCATGTCTTTGATAAAAATTATAAAGCAGTAGGATCAAAGGGAAAATATATAAATTGCTGATAAAACATATGCCAAGTCGACAATTTTCAATTTTTTTGTAATAATACTAAATCAATCATGATAGTCATACACATTAATATTCCAAAATAAAAAATACAACAAATTGAAAAGTATGAAAAAAATACATTTTGTTTTCTATCGAAACCTAAGTAATGGATAATTAAAATATATACGAGTATCTACTGAATAATTGAGAAGAACGATTAGTTTTTCTATCATCCTGAATGATTAATTAACTTCTATTTGATTGAAAATTCTTTTAATTTTTTGTAAAAATGCAAAGGTTTAATATTTTTTGTTTAAATGGTTGGAATTGTTGTCTTTCAGTATTCAATGAAAAATCAAATGGAGTGAAGTGTTTCAGAAGTGTTATTGTCCCTTAACATACCGTCAGTTTTGAGAAGTGGATTCATAACATATTTTGTGAAACAACAGCAATAAATATTCTTTATTATTTATATTACATCCGTCAATAGACTGATACTTTGTCATTTGACCAAATAAATTCAGGCTCATTCAGATATGCAAACCCTTTAGTCGATGATAAGCGGACAACGACAAGGCAAAAAAAAAAATCCCAACAAAAAACGACCAAAACACACACAATAATATACAAACCACAGCATAGAAAAGTAAAGAATGAACCACACAAACTCCATCAAAAACCGGAATGTTCTCATTCAATATAAAACAAAATTCTTTAATTACAAAAAAACACATTACATTATTTAACAGCTTAAATATTTCAACTGCTTTCTGTTTTATTTTACAAAAGCTTGTATCAAATACAGTGACTTAATCCAGATAAAGATGTCTAAAAAGTAGTGGATATTTATTGTCTCCATAGTTGTTTGACATTATACTCACACTGATAGCCATGGACGGTTTTCCCTTTTTTGTCAAGCAATATTTAACTCGTGTATGACTCATCAAAACATAACACGAACTTTAATATAGAGTAATATAATACCTTGATCGAGGATTTGCTGTTTACAAAGATGCTATTTAAAATAAGTATCACAAATGGTTAAGTTTAAGTAATCCCTTCCAAAGTTTGGTGACACGGGATTAAGAACAAACAGATTTGATATGACTAATACAAACTAATGACAAAGTTCCTGACTTAGGACATGCATAAGTTTAAATACGACCCTGGGTTCAATATTCAGTTCGTTGAATGTATTTTACTTTGTTTATCAACACACACGAAAATGAGAATTGTAGCAGTTTTAATTTTACTAGGTCTGAATCAAATTTTGACATTTTTAAAAAATGTAATCGAAATATTATGGACTTAACGTAAAGAAAAGTTTATCTGGTTATCGGGAGTGTACCTGGCATGGATAAATATAGGAAGATGCTGACCAATCACCAAAAGCAAAGGCATGAAATTGCAATTACTTCCATGAATCCTAATTGTTTGAGTCAGGTACAGTTAAGACATAAATAAAAATCTAAATCATGTTCTCACTATACGGAGTTAGGAACTTCATCTTCGTACTTTATTTGGCCTTTTAACGATTTTGATTCGAGCGTCACTTATTAGTCTATTGTAGACGAAAATTGTGTCTGGTGTACGCAATTAGAAGCCTGGTATCTTTGATGAGTCATTTTGATTAACAGAGGTGTGCTCCTTACACAAAAACTGTTCCAACAAAGTTATGAGGAAGAATGATTGCAATCGATACTGCATAATATTTTGGGACATTATCACGAATTGGTTGACCGATACGATGTGTTTGTGTGTCTCAACAAGCCACACGTTTTCATGGTCTAGATCTTCTGTCATCTTACCGATTGTGTCCATTTATTTGATTGTGATATTTTGGCTGATTCCGAATGCACATTGCGGGTGAGGTTTGCACAGAAGGAAACGCATACACTGTCAACGCACATGTTGTCGCTACTTTGAAGTTCGTGTAATACCTTTCGCATTTGTTTTTTACCTTGATTTGTCTCTTTCTTATCAATTTGCGAGATTTCAAAAATCAGTAATTTACTTAATTTTGGACCATACTTAACCATTGTATTACTAGTATGCCTTTTTTGTATTTGCTTATCTGGATTTTTTTTCATTCAAATGACCAATCCTAACCAAATTTGAGAAATTTCATACAATTACGATCACCTATCATAACAAGAATGCATGAGTTGTTGTGCTAAGCATATTCAATCCCGTAATTAAAAGTATCAGAAATCAGGAAGTGTGTGTCTGACTGATTCTGTTTTGTAGTATTTGAGAAATGTGGGATGAAAGATTTAAAGTTCATGTAACATACATGTATTAAAATAAATCAAAGTAAAGACAAACAAGGCGTAGGGGCCTTGTGGATCTGAAAAATTATCATACGTTAACTAATGACTGTTAATCTGCTGATCAAATTTGAAGCCATTCTGATAATTAGTTCCTTGGAAAAGTTTATCGAAACTATTTATTGGACGAATAAACGGATAATGTGAATGCAATATGGGTCCCGATCCTGTAGTTGGGATATGATTACAAAAATATGGTTGCAAGTCCTGCAGGCAAAATTGACCTTATGCTTTTTTGGCTGAACATTCGGGTCATTTTACTACCGATGTTCAATACCATAAGTAATCAAATGCCGAAAGTCCAGATTATTAAACTTCATCTGGTCAGGTTGTCAAATATAGGAAAAGTGCATGATATTTTGAAAACTAGTGAAACCAATCAACAACGTTAACTGACCTGTCAATTGCAATTGCTGCTAGAGTGTTGACTGAAGCACAAACAGAAACATGATGTATATATGGCGTCGTTTTACAGGTAAATGCTCCAAATCTCCAACCTGAAAGTAACAATAAATAAATAATTATTATATTCTAAAATACTATCAACTGATAAAGATACAAGATATAAAAACTAAAACAGTTTCTAATTCATATATAAAGTCCATCTAGAAAAACATACCTCGTGTAACTCTAGACATATGTTCATCAGGTTGGTCTCATTGCAAACATTTGAAAACTAGGAATATTGGAACATAAATAACCGACGAGCTAAATTATCAAAAAGGATATAAAAGGAATAGTCAGAATCATCTATGGTAAACTTTTCAATTCATGAAATGAACGACAAAACACTTTTTTTTTATTTTTGAATCAAGAAAGAATATGTATTCGTGCAGGGGACCATATCAGATTTTATTGAGAACTTAAGATAGATGAAATGCATTTCAAAGAATTAGCAGGAAGCCAATGAACCAATGTTGGGTATTGCTGGTACAATTCAATAATATTTCCTAGTTTTATTCACGAAGAGACTGCAATACTATTTCATACCTAATTCTATCTGACAGCGTTTGCTGTATACAGCGTAAATTAATTCATTCCATTAACTATGTCTTCGTAAATAGAAAGCTCTGTATGAAATTTGAATATATAATTCAATATCCAAACTACAAAATATTAAATAGTAAATGGCTCACACAGTCTGCATTGCTCACATGGTTCTATACCAAATATCAAAAATGACCAATCTCCTTTAGTTTTAGAGCAATTGTAGTCAGCTTTTTAATTGATATTTCGTTAATTTTTCATTCATTTTGAAAATTTATCAGATTTAAAGACTAACCAATGGTTATGTTAGGGATTGCCAGATTTTTACAGATTCATTCGTAGAATAGAACAATATATAAATAACACATAGCTGAGAGGGTGATAGAGCAGATTGTTACCCCGATAAAACATTGTAAACTGAGGCGAACCCAAGGGTGACAATGTCTTTTCGAGGGGTAACAATCTGTTCTGTCACCCTCTCAGATATGTGTTAATTAATTTAGTATACTGAATGTTCTGTTATTACTGTCTATTAAATTTCAAATTCAAAGTAATGAACTATGTCGTCTTGTACATAACAATCATCCGTTTTTATTAAAGCGCACACTTGAGCAGGCGTCTCCGTGAAGGGTAATAGAGTATTTGCCATAGAATAGAGTAAATTATCTCCCTCGTATTAACCAATCAAAATCTGGTATTTTGACATGAAGTATAATAACAATGAATACTTCATACTAAGTTCGGTAGCAATTGGTTTTAAACAATAAGTTTCATGTTTTTCTAGTTTTATGTAAAATGTTTTCTTTATAGTAACTGTACCCTACATGCTGAAAGCAGATTTTGCTCATCAACCATAGTGTTGAAAGAGAATCATAAGTACATGTAATCATAGTAATCTAACAGCTGTTTTAATTGGTTTTTTTTTATAAAATTGTGTTTTCCTATAAAAAATAAATGTCATTTTTTTTTAATAAGCAATGCTATCGACAGCGGTCATTTTTAAAGAAGATCGAACTGTTTGCCCTAATTCTTCTCAAGGAATTTTTTATATATGAAAAGTTTATATGAAAATTTTAAGAAAACATACTCGCTAACACATCGATTCTAGTCTTAAAACAGTCATTCTGATATTAGCATCATCTTAAATGACGTTCAGATTTGTTACGATTTTAAGTTTTGTTCAGATGTATTCTTTTCGCTAATTCAGAACTGTACAGCAAATGGGTCGCAGTTAATGTTAAAATTAAACTGAGAATGGAAATGGGCAATATGTCAAAGAGACAACAACCCGACCAAAGAGCAGACAACAGCCGAAGGCCACCAATGGGTCGATTAGCTTTTCGAACAATTCAGTATGTTTTTGTTTGTAGGAGGTAACAACTACTGAAAAGTCTGCAGTGGATGAGTCTGAAAATTAACTGAAAGACTGAACATGACTCAATACTTTATTATTGTGTCTTTTCAAATCTATTCAGATCAAATTAGCCGTTTCAGTTCAAAATTGGTTAGCTAGTGACTCATTCACACAATTCATATTCATTTTTGTCATTTCTATTTCTTATTAAAGTAACAGTTGTGTTTGAATCGTATTTGAAGACGGTTTGGTAATTAACTTTCTTCCTGAAAGAAGATCATAAAAGGGTTACTTTATTAATTAAGTTTGGAGCAATTCATCCTTGACATATAATGAACTATCTATAATATGTTCATTTGTATTCTTAGTAATAGCGTTGGTCATGTTCGAAGGAGGATATGGAATTAACATTACATCTAAAAATAAATAAACACTTTATAATTTTGCTATGTTCTTAGGGCTTTTTCTATGGGTTTAGTTTTATTTGAAATGCTCAAAGTCAAATTTTTGAACGCCAAGGATGTATAACAACAGAAACAAAGCCATATGACAAACAAGGACATGAACAGAATAGTCAAATCGCTAAATTAGCTAACAAAATACAAGTATTTTAACCGCACTTTGATATAGGCTGTCTGTCCAATATATTATGAAATTCTTGTTATTTTTTTAAGTATCATTTGGTTGCAATTGGTCTTTCATAACATTTTTTTTTCGTTAAATAATATATTCAAAATTTCAGTGGCGACCATGCACCAAAATTCCTTAAGAGAATAAGAGGTCATACCTCTCAGTAATAATTAAATTGGTTTGTTTCTTCAAAAATGAGATTTAAAAAAAAATCAAAATCACCGAGAAGAAGTTTCGATCAGGTCACTTTTTCCCCTTTGAATTGGAAAATAAATACAAATCTATGAAATTACTTTATTCGGATATTAACATGACATTAGTCTGTCAGATCTATGTATTTATATTCATTCTTTGTTCCTATCGGGTTTGTTTAGGGCTGTATACATCTTGCGTTCAATGGTTCAATACTTCAACAACTGCACAAAAGCTCCATTTTGAGGCAATTGTATCAGTATTAATTTCTGAGATACGTCATTTACGAAAACAAAAAACAAAAAAATCTATTAGATGTCATAGACAAATAAATTAATTTTTTGCTACTTAAACTCTTATAAATATACATTATGTTTGTTGATTATCCTTTTAAGTAAGGTTGTGGTTCATATTTTTTTGTCCTTTAAAAGCCATTTGATTTCACATGCGTAAATTTCGACCATTTGCTACCTCATTATGTCATCACAACTGTCTTTTCTAAATTTGAGTCCAGAAACATGTTATATTATCCGATTCATTTGTTGATATGATAAGCACTTTTGACAGGATGGGAGATATTCGCTACTTTTTTGGAAAACATGGAATGGGGACCAAGAATAGCCACTTTATACTTCCTACTTTAATAACGAGCAATTGCGGACCTGTTTCTGTATTGTTATAAGTTACAATTTATGACTAAAATTAGCAAATACGCATTGAAACAATATCTGATACAAAGATTTAATAACACTTTTAGATATTTGGATGATATATTGGCTCTCAATAATGACGACTTCAGTATGTTTACTTTAGAGATTTATCCTGCTGAACTGACTTTAAATAAAGCTAATACTAACAATGAACACTGCCCTTTCCTAGATCTTGATATCTATATCTTTAACGGAAAGGTTAATACCAAAATTTACGATAACTATCGTTAATTATCCATTTTTAGATGGTGACGTTTCCTTGTCGTCATCTTATATATCTCAACTTGTTCTTTTCGATCGTGTATATAACAATATATTTGATTTTAACGAAAGAAATCTCTGTATTACTGAAAAATTATTACACCAGGGTTTTTCGATATCAAACACTAGTCAAAACATTTACTAAATTTAATCATCGGTACAAGGACATCATTCGTAAATATAAATCAACATGCAGACATCTTATACGTTCAGGTATTTCACATCCAATCTTTTATGGTAATATTCTATACAAAGCACAAAAATGTCGTCATACACCTCAAAAGCTAACCAAACCTTTAAACAGACTTATTCAGAAGGGTTATAGTAACGATACTGTTGTCAGGTCATTAAAGATGGCATATTTTGAAATTAATATTGATTCACTCATAGGGTCTTTGCATCGAAAATAAACACATTTATTCTAAAACCAGTTGTTGGCGTGATGCGGGTTATGTTCTTCTCATATATTTTATGATGGTATGATACTAAACTCCTAACGGGAGGGATTGTGCTTGATTTTCATATGATAAAGACATAATCTTTCAATCAGTTTAATTGAGGTCTGGAGCTGGCATGTCAGTAACTGCTAGTAGTCCTTTGTTAATTTATGTATCATTGTCATTTTGCTTAGTTTCTTCTGTTACCTATTCTGACATCGGACTCGGACTTCTTTTAAACTGAGTTTTACCGTGCGTATTGCTGTGTTTGTTAATTCTTCATTGGCTAGAGGTATAGTGGAAGGGCTGAGATCTCACAAACATGTTTAACCCCGCCGCATTTTTGCGCCTGTCCCAAGTCAGGAGCCACTGGCCTTTGAAAGTCTTGTGTGTTTTTTAATTTTAGTTCATTTATATGTTTCGGAGTTTAGTGTGACGTCCATTTTCACTGAACTAGTACACATTTTGTTGATGGACCAGCTAAAGCCCGCCTGCGGTTGCGGGATTTTCACGCTGTGTTGAAGACCCTTGGTGGCCTTTGGGCTGTTTTCTGCTCTTTGGTCGGTTTGTTGTCTCTTTGACACATTCCCCATTTCCATTCTCAATTTTAATCTTTGATAATTCAGGCAAATTTCGGTTTAAATTATTTAAATTTAGATAAGTAAACGTTTATCACGACATGACGCACGAACGTCAAGTGAATGGCAATCCATGGCCTAGGTGGGAACGGTGAAAATTATTTGCTTGCTATGTTTTGTAAATGAAATTAATACTTCATAAATTTGGTGCGTTCGTGGCGCTTTGATAGGTTTAACTTCACATTCTCAATGAAGTCCAACTGACGTGAATTTATGTTATTGACATTTTGGTACTTTATAGGATAAATTTTATAACAAATTCCTTAAAGAACTGAATATTCCGCCTAT